CTCCTCGTCCTCGCCATCGCCCTACTCCTCCTCCTCCTCCTCCTCCTCCTCCTCCTCCTCCTCCTCCTCCTCCTCCCACCGCTCCGCTGACGCGGTGCAAATGTTCGACCCCGCCGATTTGCCTGCGGGCCCGAACCCGGCGGCGATCACAGCCATTCTTCGGAACCCGCGCTCGCAATGGCCGGGCATTTCAGCATCCGAGTCGCCGAGCCAGCGCCACGCGGGCGCTTGCGTTCCTCCTATATATATATATATATATGGGAAGCCACAACTGCAACGCTGTCCAATGCCATGATGCGATACCTGCCTGGCCAGCGGGGGAGCGGAGCAGGAGGAGCAGGGGGCAGGAGGCAGGAGGAGGAGAAGGATGAGGGATCAAGCAGACGGCGGACGGTGGACGGCCGATTGCGACCAGGAGGGGGGACACAGAAACGAGCGAGGAATTGGATAATCCAGCCAGGGCCTGAGACGAGCAAGCGTTGCATAGCACCATGACAGATAGGGCAGCGAGCTCCTCTCGCATGGGCGTTCTGCGGTACAGGCTCACAGTATACGAAGACATGCGAAACGCTACATGTTGCCGGCACCTCATTGTTTCGCCAACTTGGTAATAAAACCAACTCCTAAAAGCAGCATCTCGCCCCCCCCTCTCGCGCATTCGCGTCGCGTCTTGCGAGTCGTCACCGTCAGACTCTTGGGGCTGAAACTGCTGGGACTGAGGCTGCGCGGACTGGGGGCGCTAGGATCGAGGACGCCCTCGTGGCATCACTGCTGGGACTGAAACTGCTGGGGCCGAACTGCTGGGACAGAGCTGATGGAACGTCGGCGTCGCTGCTGGAACTGAGGATGCCCATGTGGCGCCACTGCTGGGACTCAAATCGCTGGGGCCGAACTGCTGGGACTGACGATGCTGGGACATCTGCGTCACTGCTGGAACTGAGGACGCCCCTGCGGCGTCACTACTGGGACTGAGGGCGCTGGGGCCGAACTGCTGGGACTGACGATGCCCTTGCGGCGTCGCTGCTGGAACTGCGGACGCCCTTGCGGCCTCACTGCTGGGATCGAGCTGCTGGGACATATCTGCTGGGACTGAGCTGCTAGAACTGAGCTGCTGGCACTGTTGGGACTGACTACTGGGAGAGACTGCTGGGAGAGGCTGATGGAGCGGAGCTGCTGGAACTGAGCGGCTGGGACTGAGCACCAGGTGCATCGCCCTGGGAGGAGCTGGGGGGCGCCAGGGCACCAGCCGCCAGCCCCCACTCCCCACTCCCTATCCCTAGTCCCGAGTCGCACATCCTATCCCTATGCCTAGTCCCGAGGCCCCCACTCCCCACCGCGCAGTGTCCAGGGTCGGCTCTATGATCACTGGAGCAGCGCCGAGGTCGCCATCGCCGAGCCCCGCGAGGACGGACGCGAAACTGACGCGAGGACGGGCGCGAGGAGGACTTTCGGGGATGCCCCACAACCAGGAAGCTAGGCGGCGAAGGCGGCCCTCACCAGAACCAACCGACATCAATTGAGCCGATGTTCTCACGGACGGCGCGCGCACATTGACTTTCCCGTCCTTCGCGCCCAGCGATGCTCGAAATGCGATTATCAACGCGCACTTCTGGGAGGCCAGGCAAGCCCCGTCCTTCGCGCCCAGCGATGCGAAATGCGACAATCAACGCGCAGTTCTGGGAAGCCAAGCAAGCGTCACGGCTACCAGGGTGGACGCCGACGTGTCGCGGCCCCCCGCTTCCACCTCCTTCTCCTCATTTCTCCTCCTCCTCCTCCTCCTCCTCCTCCTCCTCCTCCTCCTCCTTCCCCCCCCCCCCTCCTCCTCCCTCCTCCTCCTCCTCCTCTGCGCTCTGCGCTGCTAAGCGACCCCCTCTTGAACGCAACCACATAACGCCTAGCAGGCGAGTCACCCACAATATGCCACTGATCTTCTTTGAAGCCAGCGCTCTCCAACCACGGGATAACTGCCTCTTTGACACTAGAAGCACAGACAGCAGCCTTCGTTGAAGCCACGAAGCATGTACGACTGGGCTCGCGGGTGAAGCCTGCCACGTCTGCGTAGTCCGCCTGCGGGGCGGCCTGCTCACACTGATGGAGAATGAGCGTGAGCCGATCCAATTCGGCAGCCATTGTGTGGTGTGTCTGCTCCAGTGATGTCTGCCGTCGGTTGAGCTCACGAAGACGAAGGGCAGTCTCCTCATGCTTGGCCTCCTGCTGTGCCGCGAACTTGCGGAGCGCCGAGGCCGTCTTGTCAGCCAGCTGAATGGCCAAAGCAGACGTGGTGTTGTTGACCGAGGACAGGAAATCGACCTTGAGATCCACCACCAAGGCTTCCAGCTCGAACCTGCAGACGAAAGCGTTGGGGTCAGGCGCCACGGGTGTCGCAGTGCCGCCAGTGTTGTCCGCTTCGCCAGGCTTGTTGTTAGCGTCCCACGGGTCGCGGGCCTGCAGAGGATCGACAGGGCCAGCAGACCCCAGACCGTCCACCAGCACGTCGGCATCACTGTCGTGCTCCTCACGAGTCCTGGTGCGCTTACCCTCAGGAGTGTCCGTAGGGGATCTCCCGCTGGCAGCAGCAGGAACCCGCTGCGGGCGTCGGGACTTGCGCCGAGCCACCCTCTGAGAGCCAGCAGGCTGAGACGCAGCAACAGAATTAGAAGCCATGACTGCGGGTACAGTACGTGCCGAAAGCGAGACGTGACTGTTGAAATCAGGAGGCGCTGGCCTCAGCACAGTTGTCAGATGTGAGAAAAAACCTACGCCTGCGAGAGGCGCACGTGAGATACCGTGGGCCGCGCCTCCCACGGACAAGTCTGAGCGAAACACTCCGGACTTGAGCCAAAATGGCTACGGATGGGTGGCCTCGACACGTGAAAACACATACCAAAACACCATAGTGAGCGCCAGAACCCATGAGTGAATCGCATGACCTAATCGAGCCAGAACACAAGAACTAGTAAGCGCTGCCAGCAGATTCCGGGATGACAATAGTGAGCGCCAGAACACCATAGGGAGCCGCATTTCTGGACGAAATCGAGCCAAACACCGTAGTGAGCGCTGCCGGCTGTTTCTGGGCCGCACCATCGGGCAACTGAAACGCCTCTCCCTGGACCCCGCAGAGATTCTGGTGGGGGGAATCTCTGAGCAGTGTGAGCACCATGAGAACCCTCTAGCGAAACGCTGTGAAGGAATTACCCTGGCGACGTACCCAACCCCTGCGCAATGCAGGACATGAGTAGCTTGGGGGACGTCATACGGAGGTGATGACGTGACATGGGCACATATACTTCTGCGAGCGGCATTCGTGAAGCTCGCAGCCCCCCCCAAGGATTGCGAGGTCCCGCTCAGATCTGCGCGGTGCCTCACTCCGCTGGATCCACCAGCAGCCCTCGAAAGTGGCGACAGTTGCGCAGATCGCAGCCACCCAGCGACGGCGAGGTCCCGCTCAGAGCTGCGCGGTGCCTCACTCCGCTGGACCCACCAGCAGCCCTCGAAAGTGGCGACCGTTTCGCTGAATCCCCCCCCAGGGACTGCGAGGTCCCGCTGAGATCTGCGCGGTGCCTCACTCCGCTGGACCCATCAGGAGCCCTCGAAAGTGGCGACAGTTTCGCAGATCGCTATGCTGACCCCACAAGCAGCCCTCGAAAGTGGCGACAGTTGTGCAGATCGCACCCCCCAAGGACGGCGAGGTCCCGCTCAGATCTGCGCGGTGCCTCACTCCGCTGGACCCACCAGCAGCCCTCGAAAGTGGCGACAGTTGCGCAGATCGCAGCCACCCAGCGACGGCGAGGTCCCGCTCAGATCTGCGCGGTGCCTCACTCCGCTGGACCCACGAGCAGACCTCGAATGTGGCGACAGTTGCGCAGATCGCAAACCCCCAAGGACGGCGAGGTCCCGCTCAGATCTGCGCGGTGCCTCACTCCGCTGGACCCACGAGCAGACCTCGAATGTGGCGACAGTTGCGCAGATCGCAAACCCCCAAGGACGGCGAGGTCCCGCTCAGATCTGCGCGGTGCCTCACTCCGCTGGACCCACGAGCAGACCTCGAATGTGGCGACAGTTGCGCAGATCGCAAACCCCCAAGGACGGCGAGGTCCCGCTCAGATCTGCGCGGTGCCTCACTCCGCTGGACCCACCAGCAGCCTCGAAAGTGGCGACAGCTTCGCAGATCGCAGCCCCCCAGCGACGGCGAAGAGAGGGCAGGAGGAGGCGGTAGGCGGGAGGAGAAGGAGGAGGAGGAGGAGGAGGACGCGACCGCAGTGCTCTCTATTCAAGGCGAATACCCATACGAGGAAGGTTGGGAAAAATGCCACGCCCAGATCTCAGGGGAAGAGGGCCCCACCTCTTTCCACCGATGGCCCCTCGGATCGGTCCACGAGCACCAGTGCCCAGAGAGAGAGAGAGAGAGCCTCCCGGAGGCCTCAAGACGAGCCCTTAAAAGATGGTCCCGAGCAGCGAAGGCCCTCCTTGAGGAAAAAAGACAACGGACCCCACAGATCAAAATCAGGAAGCTCCGCGCGGGCAGCTTCTTCTTCGGCTCACGGCAGGCCCCTGCTGCTTTCGCGCCTCTCTGGCGTCGCAGACAAAGATGGAGGCGGACATCGAGGTCTCCTCGACGCTGTTACGGGAGGTCCCTCCCTCGGATCACCGGAGAAGGCTCAAGCGCGGAATGTGCAGGTGAAAGGGCGACCGCGAACCCTCTTTGTGTCACTGTATGCATACTTACACTTCCCTGATCAAGGCAACTAACTCGCTTAAGAATCGTTGCTGGATGAGCTGGCGGCGACAAGCGAAGCGTTCAGAATCTAGGCGTTTTTCAACCACAGAGGGTGGCGGTGACTCATTGCAGGCATCTTCGGTTCACGAGTACTTGAACCAGACCGCATGGACTGACAGCGACCAGACCGTCATGAGTGAAAGTCCACGAGGACGGTTGGTACAACATGAGGGTCAGCAAGAGTGTAGACCTACGCCTCCTCCCCATTCTCCTCCTCCTGGCAGCCTGGGGGTCCGAATCGGCGGTGAGGACAGGAGTGCCGCACACCCTGCACAGCACTTCGGGGTAGCTGCCGTACGACAGCTCTGGCGCCTATGAGGTAATCATCAGAAGCCGCACACACGCACACACACACACTTCCACTTACATTTACACTTACACTTACACTTACACTTACACTTACACTTACACTTACACTTACACTTACACTTACACTTACACTTAGACTTACACTTACACTTACACTTACACTTACACTTACACTTACACTTACAATTACACTTACACTTACACTTACACTTACACTTACACTTACACTTACACTTACACTTACACTTACACTTACACTTACACTTACACTTACACTTACACTTACACTTACACCCACACACACACACCAACGCCATCCTCCGCCTATTCCTGCTAAAACTCCTCCTCGAACTTCGGCTCTGATCCCTTCTCCAGCCTCCTCCCCCCATACTCCTCCGTGACTCCTGAAATGACCCTTCCCTGTCAAACCCCCAAGCGCGTCCGTATGCTGAGGTGGGCGTTTCGCTCGAGATTTCCCTACTACAAACTACCGTACTGAAGCTGGACACTCCGGCACTTACAGGGATGGAGGTGGTTCCTCGAGCCTCAGCGCCACGCAGACTCGTCTTCACTACAAAAAATGGCACAGATGGAGGGCTGGTGGCTCCGGCTCTCACCTTAGCGCCGCGCGCATTCGCCCTGCGCGTTGAAGACCAGCTCGTTCTCAAAATGTGGAGCTCGCAAGAAATTTGCACCAAATGTTGCGACCCATGTCTTAAATTCTGCAGCAACTGCACGGACGGAGAGCGGCTCCGTGAGGACGCGGCCACATCGCTTGAGGCTTCTGCAACGCCTGTGTCCAGACGTTTGAAACTGTGCAGCCACGTCCACGGGTGGGGGTACCTCCTTTCCAAAACGGAGCTATCGCGTGACACTTTCACGGATCGTGCCCTCCCTGCGCTTCTGCAGCCGGATGGGCCGTGAATCCTCTGCAGAGCGGAATCTCGCTTGAGCGGTAAGCCCACGGCCCGTCTGGCGCTCGTCAGCCCGGGGGAGCGACAGCGGAGGAGGGCCTTGCGACGGGAGGGTGGTTTGCAAGACCGCTGACGCATACTGGGTTTATTATGGTCATCCTCCTACTCATCCTCCTCCCGCTTTCTCCCCTGTCCCCCTGGAGGTCGGAATGGCGACGGGGTATGGGGCGGTGGAAGTGGGTGCAATTTCAGCTCGCAACCTGATGTCGCCCTGTCCCGTTAGGGCACGTGAGCACGGGGACGTCCTGGCTGACACACTGCGTCTCCATTGGGATACCTGTGCACGTCTCTCCCGCAAAGAGATATTCGCAATTCTGCAGCGGGTAAAGCCCGCAAGTGGTACAGTACGCCACAGTCGTGGTGGTGGTCACGCTTGTCTCCGTAGAGGTTATCGTAGAGGTTGTCTGGGTCGAGGTTGTGTCGGTCGTAGTCACAAATGACGTGGTAGTCGCAGAAACCGTGGACTTCGTTGTACTCGAGGACGTTGTCACGGTTGATACGGTAGTAGTACTGGAAGTGACCGAGGTGGCGGATGTGGTCGCGGTCGTGGTGGAACTCGCCGTCGTCGAGGAAACACTAGTGCTTGAAGTCTCGGAGGTGGAAGTCGGAGTTGTCGAAGTCGCAGATGTCGAAGTCGGAGTTGTCGAACTCTCCGAGGTCGTGGACCGCGTCGTGCTGGAACTCGCGGTCGTCGAGGACACGGTAGTACTCGAAGTCTCAGAAGTGGAACTCTCAGAGGTAGTGGACCGCGTCGTGCTGGAACTCGCGGTCGTCGAGGACACGGTCGTCGAGGACACGGTAGTGCTCGAAGTCTCAGAAGTGGAACTCTCAGAGGTAGTGGACCGCGTCGTGCTGGAACTCGCGGTCGTCGAGGACACGGTAGTGCTCGAAGTCTCAGAAGTGGAACTCTCAGAGGTTGTGGACCGCGTCGTGCTGGAACTCGCGGTCGTCGAGGACACGGTAGTGCTCGAAGTCTCAGAGGTCGTGGACCGCGTCGTGCTGGAACTCGCGGTCGTCGAGGACACGGTAGTACTCGAAGTCCCAGAGGTCGTGGTAGGAATGGGTGTTGGCGCTGGGGTAGGCGCTGGTGTCGGCACGGGCGTGGGCGCTGGTGTCGGTGCTGGCGTAGGCGCTGGTGTTGGTGCAAGCGTTGGCGCTGGCGTTGGCGCGGGAGTGGGCGCTGGTGTCGGCGCGGGAGTGGGCGCTGGTGTTGGTGGCGCTGGGGTAGGCGCTGGCGTCGGCGCTGGCGTAGGCGCTGGTGTTGGTGCAAGCGTTGGCGCTGGCGTTGGCGCGGGAGTGGGCGCTGGTGTCGGCGCGGGAGTGGGCGCTGGCGTCGGCGCTGGCGTCGGTGCTGGCGTAGGCGCTGGCGTAGGCGCTGGTGTTGGTGCTAGCGTTGGCGCTGGCGTTGGTGCTGGCGTAGGCGCTGGCGTTGGTGCTGGCGTCGGTGCTAGCGTTGGCGCTGGCGTTGGTGCTGGCGTAGGCGCTGGCGTAGGCGCTGGCGTTGGCGCGGGCGTCGGTGCTGGCGTAGGCGCTGGCGTTGGCGCGGGCGTCGGTGCTGGCGTGGGCGCTGGCGTAGGCGCTGGCGTTGGCGCGGGCGTCGGTGCGGCTGGCGTAGGCGCTGGCGTGGTGCTGGCGCGCAGTGGCGCTGGCGTTGGTGGCGTTGGCGGGGCGTCGGTGCTGGCGTTGGCGCTGGCGTTGGTGCTGGCGTAGGCGCTGGCGTAGGCGCTGGCGTTGGCGCGGGCGTCGGTGCTGGCGTAGGCGCTGGCGTTGGCGCGGGCGTCGGCGCCGGCGTGGGCGCTGGCGTAGGCGCTGGCGTTGGCGCGGGCGTCGGTGCTGGCGTGGGCGCTGGCGTAGGCGCTGGCGTTGGTGCTGGCGTCGGTGCCGGCGTAGGCGCTGGTGTTGGTGGCGGCGCTGGTGTCGGCGCTGGCGTAGGCGCTGGCGTTGGCGCGGGCGTCGGCACGGGCGTGGGCGCTGGTGTCGGTGCTAGCGTCGGCGCCGGCGTAGGCGCTGGTGTTGGTGGCAATGGCGTTGGCGCTGGCGTCGGCGCTGGCGTAGGCGCTGGTGTTGGTGCAGGCGTTGGCGCTGGTGTCGGTGCTGGTGTAGGGTCCGGCGTAGTGCTCGTCACGGTAGTGCTCGTGGTAACCGTCGTGCTGGAAACCGTCGTGCTTGAACTGGCGGTAGTCGAAGACACGGTAGTGCTGGAAGTCTCCGAGGTCGTGGACACCGTCGTGCTGGAACTCGCGGTAGTCGAAGACACGGTAGTGCTCGAAGTCTCCGAGGTCGTGGACACCGTCGTGCTGGAACTCGCAGTCGTCGAGGACACGCTAGAGCTGGAAGTCACCGAGGCGGTCGTGCTCGAAGTCTCAGAGGTCGTGGAAACCGTCGTGCTGGAACTCGCGGTCGTCGAGGACACGGTAGTGCTTGAAGTCTCAGAAGTGGAACTCTCAGAGGTAGTGGACCGCGTCGTGCTAGAACTCGCGGTCGTCGAGGACACGGTAGTACTCGAAGTCTCAGAGGTCGTGGACACCGTCGTGCTGGAACTCGCAGTCCCAGTGGTGGTAGTCCGAGAGGTGGTAGTCCGAGAGGTGGTAGTCAAGGTTGAGACTGTAGTTCTCGTTTTGGTTGTCTCTGATGTTGTAGCGGTCACGGCCGTTGTGGTCATCGTGGTTCCAGTTGTCTGAGTCGCCGAACTTGCAGAGGTACTCGAGGTCATCGTCGTTGTTCCTGTCGATTGAGAAGTTGTCGTTTTTGTGGTTGTCGACTTTGTAGTGGTACTCGAGGCCGTTGTCGTGGTACACAGTAGGGCCGAAGCAGGTAGCGGCACGTTTGCGTAGGTGCACTGTGCGTCGGCGAAATACAAACGTCGGTCGTTCAGTCTTTCCTCGTGGGCCCAGAGGGGTACTCCGTACTCAGCCACGGCGTCCTGCGCGCCAGCGGGAAGGGCGCAGGAGATGCCGATAATCCATGCCAGCCCCGCACGGAGTAACGCCATTGCTGGTGATACTCGGCTGCTGACGTCGCCAAGTGCTTGCCAAAAAGCGAGCTGCTTGAACTTCTGAGGGGAAACATAGCGACCATGACCGGGAGAAAGGATTGATTGCCAGCGAACCAAAACAAATTGCATTGGCATCATCAGTGCAATGCATGTGGTGCGGCCTTGGCTGCCGGTTTCAATGTCGTGTTATAAATGTTTGCCCGCGTGGACCCCAAACGATGAACAGTTGCGCTCTGAATGTGCAACAGATGGGGGCACAATATACGTAATGCGATTTCTGGTGCGAAAAATGAGTGGTGCGAACTATGTGGTGCCAGATGTGCGGTCAACATTACGTGGTGCAAAGTATGTGGCGCTAATGTCCAAACCGTGTGGTGCCCATCGAGGGGTGCACTTGACTTTTACCTATTTATGAATTGTCAAAACCACTGGTCGCGCAAACACCCTTTCCTGCTACCTGCAACTCGTTCGGCTAAAACCATTCGGCCACGTTTACAGCTGCTGGCTGGCAACTGATAGCCATCAGAGAATGGATGGATTCAGCTTGTGTTCGCGATTCGGTTTTCTGCTATGTATGGGGCCAACGGGGCCAGGCGGACAGCGACAATGACGACGACGAGGGCGACGAGGACCAGGCGGAGGAGGAAGAAGTTGAAAAAGAGGGGGTGGAGGGCCAGCACCCCCATCCGTCCTATCGGCCCCAGCCAAGAGCAAGGGGAGAAGGAAGAAACGCATTGGAGTCACATTCGAACCATTTTGACACAATCTTGGGATCAACTAGGGTTCGAAAAGGTCAATCTCGAAGTCGTCTCGGACTCATGGGGTCGTTCTGGGGCCACCTCGGAGTAAAATCGGGGTCGTGCGGTAGCCTGAGTTCAGTCGGAAGACAATGGGTCCATCTCGGAGTTCTCTTGGGGCCGCAAGGTTATTCTGGGGTCATTTTGGGGCCATTGCTTAGCAGGGGTGGGCATCTTGGGGCGAAAGGGGTGATCTCGTGATCCTTGCCAAACCCCTGTTGGGTCCATCTTGGGATCATCTTTCCGTTGCTGCCTCTCTCGTTGTTGTTGCTACAGATGTAGCTCTTACTGCTGGCGTTGATGCTGCTGGTGCTGCCTGGGCTGCCCGTGGTGCTGGTGCTGGTGCTGTGCTAAATTTCGGGCCCTCTTGGAGCCTTCTTGGGGCCCTCTTGCGGCCCTCGTGGGCCTCTTGGGTCCCTGAAGGGGGGCTTCTGAGGGCCCTTAAGGGGCTACCGAGAGGGCCAAGAATTCAACGCACACTTAACACAAACCGCCTCTATGTTGGAGAGCGTCGTTGTGTTAAATTGGCGTTGGAAAGTTCTGGCCCTCTTGGAGCCATCTTGGGGCCCTCCTAGGCCCTCTTGGGCCCATGCGGGAGCCCTCTGAGGGCCTTTAAGAGGCTTCCAGGAGGGCCAACAATTCAACACACATTTAAGACAAACCGCCTCCTTATTGGAGAGCGTCTTGTGTTAAGTGTATGTTAAATATCGTACCCTTTGAGAAGAACCCCAAGAAGGCCCCAAAAGAGATTGTTGTTTAGCTTCCACGCGGGGGGGTCACCAAGTATCCGCTGTTTGTACAATGCTTCCTCCTGCAGGGCTCGGCTTGAGGCTCGGAGGGCCTTCAGGAGGGTTCCAACCTGACGTATTCAAAGACTTCGCGTGAGCTTCGATTGCGATTGCGCTGCTCCAAGACGGCTCCGAGACGGCCCCAGAGCGCTCCAAGACGCTCACAATGGCTTCAAAACGGCCAAGAAGACCCTGCAGACGCCCCCGGGGGGCTCCAAGAGGACCCCCATCGGGGGCTGCACGAGGCCAGAACCACAGTTGTTCTTTTGGTTTTCTGGCGGATTCTAGCGTTCTCGCTTTTTCTGGGTTCCAATGCTCCAAGACGGCCCAAGAGGCCGCCAGGATCGCCCCAAGACGTCCTAAGAAGCCACCGAAGAGGGCTCCAAGACGACCCAAGACGGCACCGAGACGACACATGAGGCCCACAATACGGCCCAACTAGCCCCCAGGACGGCCGCAAGAGGGGATGCAGGGGGCCACCGGAACTCTTGTGAAGCGGCGTGGGGGCATGCGGAGAGCCTTCGCAAGTTGACGCGGCGCCGGGGTCACCATGTATCCCAACATTGTACGAATTCGTACATGTCTGAGACGATCGCCGAGCGTCTTGGGAGCCCTTTTGGTAGCCTCTTGGGGCCTGCTGGGGGCTTCTTGGGGCACGATAAAGGGGCCTCTTGCTCTTGAGGTCTGCTGAGATTCTCGGGGGCTTAGGGCTTCTTGGGGGGCCCATTGAGGGCCTCTTGGGGGCCTGCTGGGGCCCGAAGTGGGCCCCGAGAAGTCTCCAAGAGGTCCCAGAAAAAGTCCGGGTTCCGCCGGGGATGCTGCAGCACCATTTCCGGATGGCCCGGAGACCTCTCGGGGCCTTCTTGGAGCTCTCGTGGGGGGCTCCAGAACGGTTTGGGAGCGCCCAAGGAGCCCCAAAAGGAGCCCCAAGAGGGCCCCGAGAAAACTTCAAGGTCCCGAGAAGTCTCCCTCCGTGCCACCCGGAGATGCTGCAGCACCATCTCCGGGTGACCCGGAGACCTCTCGGGGACCTCTTGGAGCTTTCTTGGGGGCTCCAAGACGGTGGTGGGTAGGGCGGAAGGGTGGGGGGGATCTCCTGAAGATGCGGTCTCGGAGGAAGGGGCAGCTTCTGGTGACCTGACGGGAGCCTCCCGGGCGCCTTTTGAAGTCAGTTGGGGCTTCTTGGGAGCCTCTCAGGGCCTCGTGGGGGTCCTGTGGAAACCCTGAGGCGTCTTGAAAGCTTATCGGAGTTGTCTTGGTACACTCTCGGGGGCCGAGAATCGATGTTGTTTATAGTGTTGTTGTTGTTGCTGCTGGTGTTGTTGTTGTTGCATGTGTAGTTGTAGTTGTAGCTGTAGTTGTTGCTGCTCTTGTCGTTGTTGTCGTTTGTTGTAGTTGTAGTTGTTGTTGCTGCTGTTGTTGTTGTCGTTGTTGTTGCTGTTGATGTTGCTGCTGTTGTTGCTACTGATGTTGGTGTTAGCTACTGGTGATGTTTCTTGGTGTTGTTGGTGTTGCTATTGCTGCTGTTGTTGTTGTTGAGGTTGCTGTTGTCGTCGTGGTTGTCGTTGGTTGTTGCGGTTCGCTGTCGTGCTATACGCCGTGATTTCACGTGTAGAAGCGCACGCGATCAAACAAAAACACACATTGGACCACATAGATTGTACCAGACCGATTGTACCACGTAGGTTGCGCAACACCATATATTTTGCACCACCGAGATTCTCCTTTCTAAAAAAGAATAGACTCTACCCCCCCCCCGGGCGTTATCGCCCCCCCTTTCGGGTATGTAAATCGTATATGATTATGACCACATGTCCATCCTAAATATGACGTTACACTATCCCAGGGGGACTGGTATCGACCCCCCTAGGTTCCCTTGTAAAAACAATACGCGGGGACATCTTTTGTTCTAACATAACACTTTTTCGCGAATCACTTGCAAAAAACGGGACGAAGTGTACACGCGCGCGCCGTCGCGCGAACATGCCGAAATCCTCCAAAAACCTTCGGTGTCGGAAGGATTTCGCAGTCGAGTTCCAAAAAAAAACTACAAAAACACAGGGTTTCGCAACACTGATTTGCTAAAAAGCTCACGCGCGAGCTCTTGCGAAATCTTGAGAAATCCATTGATTTTTCGAGATTTCCAAAAAATGCTACCAAACGGGCTTCGCGCGCGCGCATGTCGATATCTGTCGAACACCCTTGCGCGTGTGCCGTCGCGAGGATCCTCTGAAAAAAACGGGACGAAGTGCAGACGCGCGCGTCGTCGCGCGCGTATGCCGAAATGCTTCAAAACCCGTCGGTTTCGGAAGGATTTCAAAATCGTGTGTCCAAAAAACCTACAAAAAACGCAAGGTTTCGCAACACGGATTTTCAACAAAAGCGTGCGCGCGCACTCTTGCGTCGTCGTCGCCGTCATCGTCGCCGTCCTCCCTCCTCCCGCGTCGTCGTCGTCGTCGCCTACGTCGTCCTCTGTCTTTCCTCGTGTTCGTCGTCGTCGTCCTCTTTGGCGTCGTGGTCGTTTCCGTCGTCGTTGTCGCCGTGGTCGGCCTTCCTCCTCCCCATCGTCGTCGTCGTCGTCCGTCGTCGGCGTCTCGTCGGTCGTCCCTCCTATTTCGTCGCCGTCGTCGTCGTCGTCGTCGTTGTCGTCGTCGTCTTCCCTCCTCCCTCGTCGTTGTCGTCGTCGGCGTCGCCGTCCTTCCTCCTTCGTCGTTCGCGTCGTCGCCGTCCTCCCTCCTCCCTCGTCGTTGTCGTCGTTGTCGTCATTGTCGCCGTCGTCGTCCTTCCTCCTCCCTCGTCGTCGTCTTCGTTGGAGACGTCGTCGTTGTCTTCGTCGTCGTCGTTGGCGTCGGCGTCGTCGTCGTCTTCGTCGTCGTCGATGTCGGCGTCGTCGTCGTCGCCGCCGTCGTCGTCGTCGTCGTCGGCGTCGTTGACGTCGTCGTCGTCGGTGTTGTCGTTGTCGTCGTCGTCGGCGTCGTCATCGTCGTCGTCGTTGTCATCGTCGTCGTCGTCGTCGTCGGCGTCGTCGTCGTCGTCGGTGTCGTCGTCGTCGTCGTTGTCGGCGTCGTCGAAGTCGTTGGAGACGTCGTCGGTGTCGTCGTAGTCGTTGTCGGCGACGTCGTCGTCGTCGTTGTCGCTGTCGTCGTCGGCGTCGCTGTCGTTGCCAAGTGCCATTTGGTATCCACCGTCACGGTCTTAAGAGATTTTGCAGACCAAATTGCGGGTGGGTGGGTGGGATGTTTGCGCGAGCAGTGGAGTGGACAACTCACTGCGAACAGAAATTAGTTGCACCACGTAGACTGCAACACATACATACCACAACATGCATTACACCAGTAAGGTTGCATCATCGCATGTTTGGAGGGCGAGAATGGCCTGATCCATGGTTTCTGATCCCTGGAATGGAACGCGATCCCTGTCGGAATGGGCGGTTCCAATTCAAATCATCGCATGTCTGAGCGGCGAGACCAGCCTGAT